ATGTATGTAGTATGTATAATCACTCGATTACAAGTAAGTACTTACATATATTTGAAAGCGTGAAAACATATATATAATTAGAGCTGCACATGGCAAGTAAGCGTAGTGATTAATTATCTCCTGTGAGGTGTCATTAATCGCAAATAAATGTAATTAAATGCAACTTAGCATAAATAAAACCACATACAAGCATTAATGCATAATACCTTAAGCACCTACACATGCAAATACATAAATAGTTATGTGTATCTAAAGTATCTTATAGAATATTTCATTAACAATTGCAGTTACCTTAATGGGTGAAGAGCACTTGACTGTGTGTGCATTTTTTCACCTCAAACATTTTCAGTTTTTTATTTTTAACATTTTTTGTATATAATTTACCATTTCCACTGCACTTGAGTTTATTCCACATATAAAACTCACAAATTACTATAAAACAAATAAATTTACAAAACAATTACTGCGTATAGGCAAGCTTTGGCAATATGCACACGTACATATATATGTATATAGTTATGAATGTGTATTTCAGGCTTGCATGCGTGTGGGACTATTACAAGTATGTGGACGTATGACATTGGGAATTAGCAGAGCTTTGCAATGCTGAAGCTTTTAAAAATTACGCGCCAATAAATCTATTTAAAAAATTCAGCTTACACGCCAGGTTTAAACGGAAAGCAATGGCATGAGAGATTTGTATGCGTCTTAGAGTATTTGTAGTTTTGTAAATAACACTGTTATTCTGATTATTATTTTTTTTAAGATATAGTACCATTTACGCGTACAGATTTGCAGTGGACCGTGCTTTTTAAGAACGTTTTTTTTACCTTTTATGAACATGGAATGGTATTATAACTTTGGTCCGATGTTTATAAGTACCGGAAGAAGAAGAGGAAGACCTATGAAAAGGTATACCAAAATAATCGGAGTGACGCACAGTTCTTCACTTTGATGAAAATTGTCTTTTAGTGAACTCGAGGACGCTGAATTCCATAATGCAATTTGTTCTTTTTATAATTTGCATACTTTCACTGTATTTGAATACATAAATACGTACATATATTTCATTAGATTTTCAAAAGTGGCTTAGCCTGTGGACGTGCAATAAAGTTTTTTTGTTTGTTTGTTTCCAAATATGAAAAGTCGAATTTAATTTAATTATAACAAGCTGTACATGAAATTTTAAAATATTTATGTCAAACGAAAGGAGTACGAAATCGTATTTTTTATTTGTTTACGATATGTAAATACATACAAACATTGCCAATGAATGATTGGTTTTGTACTGTTATATTACATGACTCTTAAATTAAATTAAAAGCGTCAGTAATTTTTTTATTCTTCAATTATTTCTTGCTATATATGTATGTAAAAAAATTTCTTTCGTATGTTATCTAATTCCCTTAAAATTTTATTTGATTTTTTATAAACAGGTGGCAATCTTTCTATGTGTAGTTAAAAAGTATATTGATACCCATATTGGAATATCTATTTGAATTAAAATTTTTAAAGATGGCAACCCTAACTTACGAAAGAGATTTTTGTACATATATAGCAAGAAATAATTGAAGAATAAAAAATTACTGAAGCTTTTAATTTAATTTAATAGTCATGTAATATGACAGTGCAAAACAAATTATTCATTGGCAATGTTTGTATGTATTTACATATCGTAAACAAATAAAAAATACGATTTCGTAATCCTTTCGTTTGACATAAATATTTTAAAATTTCATGCACATACATTTTGTTATAATTAAATTAAATTCGACTCTTCATATTTGCAAGCTAGGACTTTCTCAAACCTCTTTCGAATGACTCCCATATATGTGGTGATACTTATTTCAATTATCTAGTTCCCTTAATTCAAATGAAATTGATTTTTTAAACAGGTGGCAACCGTCCTACTTGTATTAAAAACTTTTAAACCCAACTTCGAATGATATGCATCTGCTCGTAATTTATTTAACTTATTAAATAATTCGAATTCAATTTGTTTACTGCCGGCAATACTTAAAAAAAAATCTTTGTACACATCTACAGGACAAGCCCTTTATTTTGACATCTCATTTTTGAAAATATAATGAATGGTGCAGGTCTGATGGCATTAACAAGAAATGAAAAAAATATTTGACGTCTTATTTCCCAATGTGAAAAAGTAGCATTTTTTCAACAGATAAAAGGCCATACTTTTGATCTATGAAAAAAAACATAATTTTTAGATTTACTCTTTTAAACTTTAGTATCATTTTAATTTTCAGCAAAATTAATTTGCATTGAAAATATAGTTAGTCTAAACTCTATTTTTTTAACAAATTATTTTTTTTGCAGTTGTTTTTGGCAATTGTACGCTTTTTTAATTTTTTTCGTGTACAGCCTGAAACTGATCTGGCTCAGACTAAAATATTTGATATACATCAACTTCATGGGCGGTTTTACTGTGTATTATTCATTTTATTCAGAGCTTTTATAATGGATAAATTACCTTTCCAACAATACCAAATAAGTCTATAGGTCTGTTCAGGATCTTGTGCACAGTGCTGCCACTTGAAAATATTTGTAAAGACCCAAACGCCTAGCAAATAAGTTTCCAAACTACCAAAATTTTTGTTTTCATCATTAAAACGAGATTTCTTGTATTTACACAAAGTAGCAGTAAAAATTAAAACTACACATAATATTATTTACAGTATTGGTTAACCAATCCTTAAGATTAAACAAAACAAATTTGGGCCTTTAAATAAAAGAATTAACGTATTGTATAAAAAAACCTTTTGTAAAAATGTAAATACTTTTGAGATGAATTCAATTCATATCAAACTTTTTTTTTGTGTGAAAAAACAAACTCAGACATTTTATGCATTTCAATAAAAAAATTCCAAATTGTTTCAATTTGCATACACTCACCCTTTTGACCAACGCACTCACACTTTGCAAATTGCCAATCACCAATTTTCCTTTCAAGACGGTAGGTAATTTCTCGTTCTATTTTAACAGCTGATCAGTCATAGCTTTAGCAAATTTAGCGAACAAAGTTTAATGCTCAATTTGGTTGTGTTTTCAAAACATTTTTGCCTGCCAAGAACTTCATTAAACCAACCAATTTTACCAAAATGGCAACGCTGCTTGTGAAAATAGTCTTGGATTTGCATTTGCATTTGCGAAATTTGGGCTTGCTACCATGACAATCGTTTGCATTTTATTGTTTTTAATTTACATATGCACCGAGGAGAAGCTCGGCCAAACACTAACATATGTGTAAGCGCCAATCCAATATTATTATTATTATTATGCACCGAATTTGCAAATAAAATAACAAGATACGGAACATCCCTTATATTTGGGACTACAAAATTTTTGATTTTTGTCCCTCATAAAGCACTGTGCGTCAAGCTGAGTGGATTAAGTTATGTCTGTCCCTCAGTTTTCGAGAAACCTGACTAATCATTTGTTGGCACTGGCATAGCTCCCTTACAACCGATTGTTCAGATATGAGATTTTTTGTTGTAACTCCTCCATTTG